TTTATGATAATAATAATGGTGAAAGTGTCAGTAATAATAATCATCAGAGGGTCTGCTAGGTAAACGCTTTTATCGCTTACCCTTTTGAGACAATGTCTGTGAGTAAAGGCCATTTCATAGGATCTAAATTGCCCATTAGCCAAAAATTTTAAACAAATTCTGCTAGTATTTTGCTAACATGATTTGACTCCACTTCACCGTGCCTCTTTCTCAATTCATCTCACATTTATGATTACATTTTAACTAAGAGGCATTATAACATGCACAATATAATACCCCTACTAGAACTATCAGAGTGAATGCTGTTATTTGCAGCAATATGAAGATCTGTGTTGAAGCATTGTTCAGGTTTCATCAAGACAGTGTCTGGGCTTTGCGTACTACACAGAGTGTTTCCATCATGTGTATCAGAAATCCTACGCTGTTATTCTCGTTTGGTTCATGGCGGGGAGCCTCATCTTCATAAAGGAAATTCAGTGTCACTGAAAGACACACTGTAATTCAAGACCTTGTTGATTTCCCACACAAAGGCTATTTAAAAATTTGTGGTTATTTTTAATAAATTTCATTGAGTTTTGTGCGATGAGCTGGTGAGGGTTCCTGATACAGAGCTGGAATTTTCCCGGTGCAAGTGAAGGAGATATATGAAATAGAAAATTTGCAGGATAATAACATAGTTTTGTTCTTGTCATTTCCTGCTTCCTTTTGCTCCCATGTACCTCTGATGTCCATTGGGATATTGAAGCATTCATAGTCCCCATGGTACAAGGCACTCAGCTTGGTACGTTGATGATGATTTGGCCAGTTGTACCTGGCTCTCAGAAAGATAGTGCTAAAGAAAATGGTCCAATGTAACATTACCCTTACGAAGTCATTTCAGGGAGGATTAAACATCAGAAGTCAGCGATGGGGTGGCAACCTCTGACACACAACTTGGCATGACGTGTGATTTTTTTTCCTTCTCCGTCTTTCAAAAAACGAGTGAAGACAGCCCCCTTTGAGGCACTGTCTCTAAAACAGGCAATCATCTCTCATATTTTGGATGAATGCTAAACAGTTGGTGTTCATGAAATTTCCTGACTTTGCAAAACCAGGTTTAGGGTGATATTTGTTAAACAGCTTATTGCAGTTACTTCCATAATGTCTCCAGGAAAAGGATTTTATTGTTGAACAGTAATAATGTTATCTTTAAAAATATGGCTTTAATTCATTCTAGTAGTAGTAAGTGGTTTAAAGCCTTATCTGCAAAATAATAGCATTTATGTTAATGCTTAATTAATGTAATTTCTTCCTTATCAGCTTGTTTTCATGTGTTGCCAAAAATCTAAATGAGCATGGAAATAATTACATCTTAATTCCCCACCTCCTTACCAATGCAAAGTGGACACACTGTAACATGTGGTACTCTTCTGACAAAGTCTTAGGAGGAGAAAATACCCGCGTTCCCCTGCAAAGCATCTTCCAAATTGGAGGAACTGTATAATGCTATTCATGGTCTCCAAACCATATCCTTGTGGTGAAAGGAAGGAGGAGTCATGAGCTCTGGGGTGTTCATCTCTTCTTCCTTCTGTGATCAGTTGCATGTTTTTGTAAGGAAAACTGAACTGCAGCTGCCAATATTTGGCTTTGGGGAGCTCCTCTTCTCAGTAAGTCAGTGACTATCCCACAGGGACAACAGTACATTCAGGCTGTTCTGAAATATTCAGATTATATTCCAACATAGGTAAATCACTGGATTCTATTTTCTTAGGATTTGCACTATTGATCAAAACGATCAATGTTTTTTCCTACTTGACGCTTTTAGCTTGTTTTGTAAGAATGGATGTTTTCCTGTAGTGCTAGTTTATATCAAAAGAACCAGAGTTTTCTTTGATGACCAACTTAAAGAATATCTCTCGGTCAAAAAATAGAAATTCTGGGTTTAGTTCTGGTTTAGAAAATGAAGGATCAGGTTCTGCAGATAGTCTAGTGTGTATTAAAAAGTAGTCAAAGAATACTGGTCAAAAAATAAAATATAATTTAAATAAACTTTAATGTTAGAGAGATGTTCAAATGAAACATTCGAGGGAAGGAAATATAGTTCCTGAAGCATAAAATTCTTCTTAAGGGAAAGAAATATTGTAAAAGTCCTTTTAGTATTCCACATCAATAAGCGAGGCACAGGCCTTATGAAAGCTGTATTCCTTGTGCATGTCCGAGTTAAAATCCTTAACTTTTCACTAACCATATTTTCAAACCAAAACATTTTCCTTCTACATTTCCTTCCCTTTGGATTATGTTTATCATACTGTAGTCTGGCTGTAGCATATATATAGGGCCTCCCTTTTCTGGCCTGGCCCCGTTTTCTTCAGCCAAAATCAATAACCACAACTATATTATCCATTAGCTCTGTCAGCCAGACTGCCTCTAAGTAACAGAAATGATTTCCTACTCTGGAAAAGAGTATTTGTTTGAGAAGCACCGGACTAATTCTAAGCCCCACCAGCAAGACTCAGGCCACTCCCAAGGACTCCCTAGAAATACATACTTTATAATTCCAGCATAAAAGAAGTGTTTCATGGAAGTGAGAAGTGCCAGTGCCTCTTCTGCAGGCAGCTTGGTTCCTTAGGCCACACAGGGATTTAACATCAAATCAAAGAAATAGGCCAAAAGTTTTCCCTAAACCCCATCTTCCTGTTGCTGCTCTCCTGCTTGGAGCAGGAGACTAACACAAGCAAGGAAGGCCAGTGGCCCTCAAAGCCGTAATCTCCTTTTTAACTTACTGCCATAGCCAGCCTGCTCTTTCAGCTGGTATGGGCAAATAGAATACCCCAGACAAGGAAAAATCTGGGATCAAGTTCCTCCAAGGATGGTGCTTCCATGGGACTCCCTGATGCAGAAGGGGCTCCTCCCTGGGCTTGAGCTTGATTTGGGGAAGGAGCAAGTTTCAGAGGGTTTTGTGGGGTCCTACGTGGGACACCAGAAGTGGCCAGGTGAGGAAGGGGCAACCCTGAAAGCTTGGCTCTCCCTAAGGACCGCTATGCCAGCTGGCAGCCCTGAGGTACACACTGCTGTAGCTTGGCAGGCATCCTGCAGAACCAGCTCCGAGGGAAGGCTGCGACTCAAATACCTCATCCACAGGTACCTGGGAGGCCAAGTCTGGCCACGCCTTCATTCTGCTTTCCTAAGCAGCCAAGTGTGTATGTCAGTATTGGCCTTCGCTACTTGTTTCCCCAGGAACATGGGATTCCTGCACCCCCATCAGCTACTGAAGGTAACATGGTGTTTGTGTACCCAGAGAGGCACTTCTCATTTTACTGAGGATTATGCTTTCATAGAAAACAAGGGTAGATCTACACAGTCGTCGGACCTCTGAGTGACAAAGGATAGGGTGTGCTGTAAAGGATCTGTGGGAGGACAACCCAGATAAACTTCAGTAATGCTGTCAAGTATTTCTAATGTTGCATACTACTATAGCAGAAACATAGAAAGTAAAGCAGCTGTCTTTCTATTAGTATTCAGAGCCCAGGATTTAAACAGCTATGCAAAATTGTGTGTTTGAGTTTCATTTTCTACTAAAGCCAAATTCTCTCAGTCTGTCCCCTCAGCAGGGAAAAAAATCCCCAAAGGAGTACTCCTTACAAGTAAGATCACTCCATCGCTTTTATCTGCTGTGATTTCGTACTGCATGTATTTGAAAGGCTGCTAAGGCAGTGAGGAATTGCCAGGGGATAACTGAATCACAAAGGCTGTAATAATAAAAGAGGACAGAGCAAAATTGAAGCTATAATTCCAAGATTTCCTTGTTATGTGGGAATGTAAGCAAATTTTAATACTACATTAGCACAGTCCCTGTCTAATTTGATTTTCACTACAGCTTGTTGCTGAGAGCATTCTTTTGTGTTTCACTCGGTAGGAGGCAGCTGAAAATATGTTGTTAAATACCAGAAAAAAAGACTTTAGAAGGACTGCTTTTTCTATGCCACCACCACAGTGGGTTCTTTATTCCTGCTCCAGGAATAAAAATGTCTGGTAAAATGGTTGAACATGTTTAATGTAGAGCATTTTCCTGATTGTCTAGCTGACTGGCCTATTCATAACTTTACCAAGTATTTAATATGACTGTAATAAAAGTATATTTTAAGCTTTGAGAATTATGTTTTACATACATATTCATTGCAGTCCAGAGAAGCTGCAGATGGAGGAGTTGGATTGGTATCTGATCAACTCAATAGAAATATATCTATGTGTATATGTGTACATATAAAATTGAGAAATCACATCAATTCTATAATTATAAAATGTATGCATTAGTGAACCATGTGGATTTCTTTTGTAATAATAAAAATAGTAACATGTTACTAAGTTATTCATTTGTATTATATTTCATATATAATATCAAATGATAAGCTATTAATATATTTTTAATAATTAAAATAACATGGAACTATTAAAAATACACTAAACTCTTAATTAGCCAGGGATGGCTTATATATGATGCCAAATAGCTGTACTCCAGGGACCTTAGAATTGTGCATAGCTGGTCCAGCAGGTTTAGTGTTTCAAACACGGAGATCTCTCAGACTTGGCTGTGTTGCTTCCATGCTTACCTCAGGTCCAAGTTTGTAGTTTTGGGCCTTTCTGGGTCATTACCAGGCAAGAGCTTAACTAGTCTTGGGAGGAATCCCTCAGTTTACTATCTTCACCAATGTCTTCTATTATACAGGTGATCCTTTTATGTAGGGTATGCCCATTCTGTGTTGCTTCAGCTATGAACAGAGAGAAACCTTGCCTTCTGTATGTTAGGTGTTCAAAGGAGTGTCAGAATGCCCCAAGAAAAAAGAGTTGGGAATAGATTAAGGAATACATTGAAAAAGAGGAAGGAACTGTATTGTTCAGTGGTCTTTTCTATACCTGTCATCGTGCTTCACTGGTGTTACGCTTAACAGAAATGCACAGTTGTATTTATATTATCCCTACGCATACCTCTGCACATTTAACAATGTTTGATCCATTTTTAGACATGAACTTCTGGAAGAAGCTCGGAGAAAGGGTTTGCCTTTTGCACAGTGGGATGGACCAACAGTGGTTGCCTGGCTGGAGGTAAGTGTTGGCCGTAATTTAGAAGTGTGAGTCAACGTTTGTAGACTGCTTCTGTGTGCTCGTCCTTGCAAACTCTGAACCTGTTAAAGTCTTTCCCTCTCTCCCATGTGCACTGTGCCTAAGTATTAAGTAGATTTCGACATTGGATGGTGTAAATCAGAGTCTAGAGCTGAAGAAATTAACACAGAATAACACAGGGGGATGAGGACAAGAAAAAAGCCTTATTAAATGCACTGGAACCCCAAATTTTTGAAATCTTATTTCTCAGTCTCAAAATATTTGGCTACTGCCTGACTATTTCATATCACTTTGAGAATTCTGTAGCCAGCCAGAAATATTTGGTATTAGAGTCAAAGCTGATTTGCTGGAAACATGAACATACAAATGTCTGTTCATTTCTGAATACTGAGAAAAATCTGGTCCTGGTATCCTCCACAGTGATACAAAATTTGAAGAAATTTCTGACCATTTCTGGCCTAATCTTTTTTTTTTTTTGGTCTTGGTTCTTAGCCACAAAATAGACTATGTGTCCAACTGTCTCAGTGAGGGGCTGTAAAGAGAAATTGATGAAGTTCTTGGGCAATATGATGAGAATACCACAGGAAAGCCCACAAAGAAGTTTATGCTGCGGTGCAGATTGAGTACTGATGATAAAAAGATATGAGGGCAGAAGTACTGAATCTGTTCAGAGAGTGTCAGTGCGTTCAGTCAGCAGATGGACACTGTGTGCATTGCACACCCTTCTGGGGAAAATATAGTATGTGACCCTTGGACTGAAAAACAAAAGTAGTATTAATGGAGACAAAGGCCCAAACTGAAGAAATGTATGTGATTGCAAAACATTTCCAAACAAGAAATTGCAAGATTGCAAGACATTTGCAAACTTCTGAGGGCCTAACTTTTTAGCCTTAGCATTTACTCCTGTTGTTTGTATGTAGCACAGAGTTGATATATATTTTAAGAACTGTGGGTTTTCTCAACTAATTCTGGAACAGTATTTAAACCTTGATACCTGGCTTCTCTGCCTAGAACAATTACCGTGTCCTCTTTTTAGAGGCTGTTTTTCATCTAACTGCATTTTCTGGCAGAGACAGCTGTTTGTTAAAGAATTAATTTACCTAATTTGTTAAAGAACTAATTTACCTAATGAGCGGCAAACATTTGAATCTATTTCTGCAGGGTGAATAACTCCCAGTATTTATGCTTTCCTGCCATTCAAGTGCATGTACGAAAAAAATTAATGTCAAATTAAATGAGAATCTTAACTGTGTTTTAAAGCTATGCATAGTTTCCTTATGGCCCTTTGTTTAAGCCCAGCTGGGTGTAATCTGCATAATTTTTTTTTTCATTTTTTGACTTAGATGAAATTTTGTATTTTGTTAGAGTTAGTTGAATGGGATCATATTTTTAAGCTTCAGACTAGTATTGGATGGGGTGCATCGGCTCATCCCATCAGTGGGAAGGGCTTTTGGAAACATGATGGAGTCGTTCCTCAAGCTCAGCGCTGCATCAGGAGTCAATACAGAAGAGCCTGACTGAGGTCTTTTGGAATCTGCCATTCAGATCTGTTTTCTCCGTGACATGAAAGTGATTTAACAGCTGTCTTTTAAGTAAATATTTCCTAGATAATGTATAGACTTGTTAATTAACCACACAGTACTTCCCTGTACTGCGAGAAATTAAATAAAAATCCTTTCAGTTTGTCTCTGCTCACCAGATATGCTGGTGAATTTACTGATGGTGTATTTTTAATAATTTGTTTGCCCTTGTGTCCTCTTTCAGTAAGCCATTATTAAGAGAAAAATATTAAGGTCATGAAATCAACTAATACTGATGGCCTATTGGACGTGCACACAGAGAGAGGGATCTTGGTCACTTCACTTACAGTACAGATGCTCTATCCTACCAAAGTTCAGGCACTAATACTTGTTACTTGCCATCTACCCTGAAATATTTAAAAAAAAAATCTGAAAATGTAGACTATAATGGCTACTATCCCATAATGTCACGCTATTGTATGCTGATGGACAGGTTTCTATTTCAGAAACAGTGGAATGGAATAAGATGCTACTACAAGCCATTAGTAACAAATCAGTGCATTTGAAAAGTGCTTTTGGCAATTTATGTTTGAAGGAACATTATACAGCAGTACAGCGAAGTACAACAGATCTATACTTAAGAAAATTATGTAGCTGTATAAATGTGAATATAAATTTTATGTACACAGAAGTATGTACATCAGGTGCATTGAATGTTAAGTAGTGATGGGCGATTTATGCACTTTGACTCTCAGTGTCAGAAAATCTAGGATATTAGCTGTTGTGTTGCCTAGTGGAAATCTTCATTTATACATTATGCTTCTTCATCCCAGCAGGGAGAGCTATGTACTAAAAAATGTGATTCACAGCACCAACCCGTGTGCAGTACTGATCTGGAAAAGGGTGAGGAGAGAGGGCAGAGAAGGGCTACTTTCCAGGGAGAAGGATCATCTTCCTCCAGGTTTCACAGAGCCTAGCAGTCTCCTAGGGCTGTCTCTATTTTCCACTGCGTTATCCCCAAAATCTCTGTGATTATGACATTCGCTGCTTATGTCCTTCTCACAAAATAGCATAATGTATTTCATATGGTGAGAAAAACTTCCCACAGGTAGGTATCCCTGCTATGGAATGATCTCCTTTAGAAGGGAAGAGTTGTAGACACTGACAATCTTATTAATGAGGCAGCACAAAATGAGAAAGCTGAGAAAACCTAGAACTAAGTAGGGCCCAGGCAAGAGTGCTAGGAGGGGAGAGTTACCTCTTGCAAGAAAAGAGTGGTGAAGGAAGGGGCTGTGACTGACCTAGGCTAGTAAGATTAACATAAGGAGAGGAGAAGCATGATGTGGCAAGCAGGTTTCTTCTAAATCCACAGGTGACATAGCTGTGCTCCCATTTTTCTGTAACTTCTAACCAGCATTTCTAGCTGTTTCCAAATTTGCAGTAAGCTCAGACCCCACGCGGTTGGTTACCTGCACTGTTCGGTTTATTTCTACCAAGGAAACAAAAGCTGAGAAGTGTAAGATTGTGGTCCATGAGTACACCGTGGGGACGAACATGGAAAGAGAGAGAAAACCATTTTAGAACGAAGTGAAAAAGTTAATCCGTTCTCCTTAGACTGTTTTCTGGATATAATGAGACTAGTAAATGGGCAGTAACACGGGCTTGTGCCACTACATGATCATTAAAGGCCTGGGAAAGGAGTGGCACAGAGCTCTAGAAATAATTCAAAGCATCTCTTGCTTTAAAGTTCTGGTTCCGATAAAAGCAACAAAAAGACTTCAGATGAAGGCATGGCAAGGTCAGGGTTCTGAAGCAATTCTGTTTTATTGAAGACTGATACTCACACTGGTTTGTGTGACTTACTCAGATTGCCAGGTGCCTTGATGATTAATTTCATTTGAGAAAGGAAGCAAGCTTTGGGTGAACGTGTCCTTTCTCTCAACAGCTCTGGCTGGGCATGCCAGCCTGGTACGTCGCTGCCTGCCGTGCCAACGTGAAGAGCGGAGCGATTATGTCTGCTTTGTCCGATACTGAGATTCAAAGAGAAATTGGAATCAGCAATCCTCTTCATCGCTTAAAGCTTCGATTAGCAATCCAGGAGATGGTATCACTGACAAGTCCATCAGCACCTCCAACATCCAGAACAGTGAGTCCTGTTCAGCTCACTTTTCCTTCCCCACCTCACCCTGCAGGAGCCTGCAGAAAGTCTACTGTAGTACGAGTGGCTCTAAAGTAACACACTTCACAATCAGTGGGAGCTGTCCTGTAGACACTTAGAAGGACCTGTTCATCGCTTGCTTGATTGTTGATGGCTGACATTTTTCCTTTAGCAGATATTATTTTAAGTCATGATTTTGATTAACCTTGATGATATCTAAATTATAAGTATTGAGCATCTTATTTGTAATTTTGCCTGGTTTTTTGCCTTTCTCTTCCTGTAAGTCATTCCTCCCAAACAAATCAGATTGTCTTTCTCTTTTTTCATTTCCTCTTTTTTTTTTGGGGGTGGGGGTGGCGGGTGGGGTGCAGGGGGGGATGGAGCTGGGACAAGGCAGGAGAAGGGAAGAGGTTATGTAGGAACACAACTCTTCTGAATCTTGTTCCCATTCCCCTTTTTTGCATCCTTTCAAATGTTATCTAATCTGATTTGGCTGGCTTTAGGTTCTTTAGGCTTTTAAGAGAAGCAGTGATTGGAGGTGTGAAGGGAGAAGTGGAGCGTGTGCATTCAGTGAGGAAGGGAAGAGAGAGTGGCAGCAGACAGGAAGGAAAGAAGTAAAGAAGAAACAGAGCTACAAGTCTGAAAGGAAAGAGGAATATATCAGAAAGGGCGAGAAAGTAGATCAGACTAAGAATGCATGTGCTATAGATAAAAAGCACCTTTTAGTGGAAAACAAAGAAAAACAGGCCAAACTGAGGAGGAGGAAAAGAAACAAGATAACAAAAGGGGAGTTTTATGCTGAGAGGCTCATGGTAATGGCTATGGAAAAGGCAACACTGTGACAAAGAAACATAAAAAGGCACCAAGAAAAAAGATGAGGCTTGATTAGATGGGAAACATGACGTAGAGGTGAAAGACAAAGACTACTACTCAAGTAGTGCAGCCCAGACATCTAATAGTTAGATGATAATGATAATGATGTTAATAATAATCAAATTTATATTTTGTAATCTCTTTTCTTCATGGAATTCATTAAGAACCTTTGGGTGGAAGTTAGAATTGAGATACCTTTGAGGGGCACCAGATCCACTGACCTATATAAGCAACTGAGCAACAGGACTCTAACGTGCCTATTGACTGGCCTTTTATCTCCATGTTGCTAAGGTTCTTTAAATATTGTAGTTCCCCATCTGATATTTTCTCTGCTCAGAACAGTAGTACATGTCATAACCATGGTAATACTATGAATTGTAATGGATTTCACCTAAGTAAAGCAGAATAGAGTCAACATGATGTTGAATTACTAAACAAAATTAATTTTGTTTTTAAAAGCATAAGAGCATATTTCAAAGCATAAGAACATTGGCACTTAAGAAATGAGAAAACAGTACATTTAAGCTAGAAACACTGGGAATTATTTTGCCTTGTTTTTTCAATTCTCCCCGAATCCTGCCCTGGCATCTACATTGCTGAGTCTTTCTGCCTCTTTCTCAGGAAAGGTGTTAATCAGGTCTCAAGAAAACACAGCAGACCTCCACACTCCCTCCCTGCCTCACCTCATTGTCCTAGTAATAATCTGACTGAAAACAATAGCATGAGAAAAAACAGTTTTACAAGAGAATTCTCTTGACATTTTTGATTTACAGAAATGTGAGGGAAGTAATCATTATTTAGGTTACGGTATGAGCATGTGATGTGTGCAGAGTATTTAGGCTGGAAAATCTTGGAGAACTGAAGCTTACATCCAGCCAGAGCTATGAGCTAAAGGGTGTGTTTGCCACTTGTGTGTGAAATGCAGCTTTAATTATTATTCTTTCCTCTGGGACGGCGCTCTGCCGGATTCCATCCATCCGTTCTAGTTGAACTGCTCCATCTCGCGTCTGTTCGGAACCCTCTGTCGAAAGATGCAAAACGAGTTGTCTAAAGTTGTCTCTAGTTGCAGCCTGGTAGAGGCAAGAACGTGGTTGTGCTGATGGTGATGCTATACGCTGTTAACTTACAGTGGTGCTGCCTTTCTTCTTTACCACTGCTTACCTAATGTGGATCCCACCTGCCTTCCTGCGGGCCTTGTCCACAGCCCTCAGGCAACGTTTGGGTGACCCATGAAGAAATGGAAAATCTTGCTGCTCCAGCTAAAACGGTTAGTCTTTCTATTTCCAATTAAAATGGTTTCAGTGCTGGAAAGAGAACTAGGATGTACCTGCATTAACGCAGATGCCATGTCCTCTGTAGGATGCTTCCCAAGCATGCCATTAGAAAGTCGCGGTGAAATTGAATGCAGACAACAGTTACATTATTTCTCAGCAAAAGAAATTCCAAACTGCATTGCAATCACAAAAATTGCGTGAACCTAAAGCCAGTATTGGAGTTTTACTGGACATAATAGTTTCACTGCCAGTGTGAAGCCTCATTTAGTGAAATGAAATGGTCACGGTTACAGGTGCAACATTTCCCCAGTAGTCTGCTCCCTAGTACCTCTTCTAAATATAGTTTTCTATCAACTGAAATAGAAAGAAATAAGAAAGGCTTGAGAATGGTGCACTGCACAATGCAGTGTTTTCATTAATGCTGAGCCTTTCATGCCTGTACTTGTGTGTTCATGCTCTTTGATGTAAGGTGCATGGAGTATGTCATCTACTTCTTGATTTTTGTCAAATCTCTCTCTGCTTTGGTGGGACATAAGTAAATATTAACAATTTTATTCCATAGTTCTGACTTTTTACTTATACTTGGAATATAGGAATATAAGTTATTTTAGGTATTGTTTTTAGCATTACGTCGTAACAACTCCATGGTGGCGCTTATAAAATATGACACAATCCCACAGTGAGATGTCTGAAAAAACCTATCTTCAGTTTGGAGAACTTTATACTCTGACCGATCCATAAATGGTGAGGGAGGTACTGAAGCTACATTTTGATGAAATAAAGAACTATTTCTTAGAAATTTATGCTTGCTATACTATTTTAAGTTTTCTCATGAACATTCATGAAGCAGATGCTCACCAATAATCTTTTTTTATTTACAGCCGAGCTCATTTTCAATGTTATTATTGTTGGTAAAGATAAATACAAACATAACAACACTCAGCTGACCAGAAGTAGAGTTGATCCTGTTTAACTGGCCAGTCAGGAAAATAGAGTTCTGCCATAAAGAATGTTATATATAAAAAGTTCCTTTACAATATGTTCACAAGAAGTCAGCTTTTTATTCTGAATGTTGCAAAATCTAACTGGAAACAAAAAATCTCTAATGCCCAATTTTGTAAGTAAATGCTTGTATTTTGATCGTGAAACCATAAAAAGTGTATTAGATAAGGCTGTAAAGTTTCACCAAGCTATAATGATTTTGTATCTTGAAAACGTAGCTAGATTTGCCCTACTTCGATTTTATAGTTGTGGTCTTGTAATTTGTAAGGTAGTTTAGCCCAGGGCATTGCCACTGACTGGAGCTGTTTTATGTGAACATTTTACATGTATGTTTTCATTTGTACTATAATTAGCATACAGACAAAACCCACACCTTTTTATAAATCATTTTTATTGTCTTTTTACCTGC